GCACATGAAAATCCATATCCTGCTTCCTAACCTCACCTATCATTATCTGAAATATTTGACACATTTACAACAATTTACAGATATATACTTCATATCCTCTCAACCTTCTGCGACATGTTATTCACGCTGCCTCTTCAATCGATACCATGTCTGTATGAAAACACTTAATGGGAGTTTATGCCACATATAAACCGTTACTTGACTGTGCATCCGTTCTATTTGATGTGTTTTCCCATTGAAGATGCTGAAGTGTTTCAAAACCTTAGTCTTCTTTTTGAGGTATTTTCAAACAGCACAAATCAACGCCCGTAATCGATTTGCCACTCAGCCATTCTCGCTCTTTGCTACTTTAAAGAAAATGTGTGTGCACTTTCAAGGTGGATTAGAGACAAGGTACAACTCATGCTGCAGCGTAATAGTTATTTATTTAGATTCATTGTATATGCATAGTGTCATATTGACCCTGTGCATGTCTTCGGAAACTTGACCAAAACAACCCGTTTGACCGAATAACAGGCAAAACTGTGATATTGTGCAGTGCGGTTGGTTGTACTAACGGGCAAGGACATAACCCAAATGCGTCTTTTTATCTGATACCTGCTCCTGATGAAGACAGAAGACGACGATGGCCAGCGGCATCCAAAAGGACAGGGAGCCATCCAAGTACTCCTGAATTTGCAGTGAACACTTCTTACAAGATATTTCCATTACTATTTTTTTTTCTTCCCCCATTAATTTATTGTGAGGACAATGACACAACGAACGGCTGAAGTCAAACGTGTCTCTTGCTACTGTCCCCACTGTGGCACAAATAAAGGTTATCTTATCTTATCTTAGACATCTGTTGCGTTTTTCACTATTTTCCACTCCGTCAATACGTATCATGTTTGGCTGTAGACAGAAAAGTGGACTATTGCTGATGCGCTGATGCTACCAGCAAAATGTACATTTAAATCTGCTCCAGTGTAAGGGGATGCTTTGTTAACGACATATGATAAAGATCATGTGGGGTGAACTCGGGCATTAGACAATTGGACAAGTTGGACATTTTATTTAATCGATGAGATTGACTTTGGGGAGAAGGTACGGGTCAACATCCAGTTTGGCGATCCTTAACTTCTCCAAATACAGCTCTTTGTGAGCCCTGACAAGATGTCCTACTTCCACCTATAACGTTATCGAACATGTGCTTGAAGCAGCTACTTCTCGTTTAAGGAGAGGAGTCTCAGTTTTTAAGAGTTGGAGTCCGTTTTGCTTTCGCCGCAATGCTAGTTTCCACTACTTCCGCCGTAAGCTCATTCACAACTTTGGCCTGTTCTGGAAGCGTCACGTGGCCTATCGTCCAGATGGTCTGCACCCGAACAGATACGGCACCAGTTTGTTGACGGACTTCCTACGCCATGTTGTTCAGTGCTCCCCGAGGGGGGCGTGACTGTTTACATCTGAGGCTTCTCGGCCCCCACCTCCTCCTCCTCCTCCTCCTTACCAGCACCGGGTGAGTACTGTGGTGCAAACACTGACCCCTGTCCGTCTGGCAGTGTAACGACAGTCCTGCCACTGAACTGTGCTGACTCAGTTATGCATCTGGAACTTAACAAAGTACAACAGAGTTCACTTTTTAAACCAATAGAGACTGTGTGTGTTTCTCGCACCAGCTCAGAAATGTGTTTTAACTTGAATAAACACAAATTTAAAAGAAGGACAGCAGTTAGACGGTCCAACTCTGGAAATCTAATTCCAGTTCTTTGTAATCAATCAACTAAACCCATTGACACTGATATTAATTTTAACCTTGCTCTACTTAATGTCAGATCACTATGCAACAAATCATTTTTAATTAATAATTTTATCTGTTCGTATGATCTTGATTTTATGTTTATGACTGAAACATGGCTTGACCATAATACAGGAGATGCAGTTTTAATAGAAGCCTCACCACCAAATTTCAAATTTGAATATGAAACACGAGAAAATAAAAGGGGGGGGGGCATAGCAGCAGTTTTTAAAGATCGTATTGTCTCCCATAGAGTGTCTCTTGGGAAATTTTCATCATTTGAGTATGTTTCTTTTAAAATAGAACAAAAGAAATCTTCTTCCATTCTTATTATTGTTGTGTACAAGCCGCCACAGTCATGCCATAGTTTCACTGATCATTTCACTGAGTTGCTTTCAGTTGTGTGCACAGATTTTGATGGTTTGGTCATTGTAGGTGATTTCAATATACATGTAGATAATGCTAATGATAGATATGCAATAGAGCTGAGCTCTGTGCTGGAAACCTTTGGTCTCACTCAGCATGTGAGTGGCCCCACCCACAGCAGAGGACACACTCTCGATCTGTTAATTACCAAGGGGGTTAATATTTCAAATGTAAATGTGGTCAATGTTGCTCTGTCTGATCATTTCTGTGTATTTTTTGACATGTGTCTTGATTGTAAACCACCAGCTGAATCTTCGGTTGTTAGAAGAAGACACATAAATGATAATACAGGCGAACTGTTCATGGGGAGGGTAAACTTTGAGAACACGTTGTGTGTTACTGTAGATGAATTACTTGATTCTGTCACCACCACTGTTTTGAATGTTCTGGATACAATTGCTCCTGTAAAGGTTAAAATAGTTACAAACAAGAAAAAAGCGCCATGGACTAAAGCAGACTCGGTCAGGGCACAGAAGAGAGAGTGCCGGAAGGCCGAGCGGAAGTGGCGAAAGTCAAATCTCAAAGTTGACCATGAGATCTTCAAAGATGCGTTGTGCAATTTTAACAGGGAACTACGTAGAACGAGGGAAATGTACTTTTCTGAAACTATTGAAGGCTGTAGCAACAATCTACGTGTTCTGTTTTCAACAGTAAATAGATTGACGAATCCCCCTGTTAAGATGCCATCAGAACTTACTTCCAAATCTAAATGTAATGAGTTTGCTCAGTTCTTTAATGACAAAGTCCAAGGTATCAAAAACGCCATCACCTCCACGATAGAAATAATAATCCAACCGCCAGTGAGGCTTTTTGGGCTGACGCACTTTACACCAGTACAAATTGAAACTGTCCAGGAGATAATCACTAGTCTGAGTTCCTCCACATGCAGCCTGGATGTATTACCTCCTAGATTTCTCAAGTCAGTTCTGAGCAGTCTTTTACCTTCACTTACACAAATAGTTAATATGTCTCTTGAATCTGGAACATTCCCAATGGCCTTGAAAACGGCGGTCATCAGGCCCCTCCTAAAAAAGAGGAGTCTGGAAGCCCTGGCACTCAAAAATTATCGGCCCATTTCAAATCTGCCTTTCATGGGAAAAATTCTAGAAAAAGTTGCCTATAAACAACTTACAGAATTTTTAATAATCAATAACGCTTATGATATGTTCCAGTCAGGGTTTAGACCCCACCACAGCACTGAGACCGCGCTAATAAAGGTAACAAATGACATCAAACTAAACACTGACGCAGGAAAAGTCTCAGTCCTTTTTCTGTTAGATTTAAGTGCTGCTTTTGACACTATTGATCATGGCATCTTCATTCAGAGACTTGAGGACTGGGTTGGTGTTGCTGGCACCGCTCTAAGCTGGTTTAGGTCCTATTTACAAGACAGAAAGTTTTTTGTGGAGATCGAAAACTGTACCTCAGACCACTTGGCCCTGACCTGCGGAGTGCCACAGGGGTCAATCCTGGGTCCTCTTCTGTTTAATATTTACATGTTGCCTCTAGGTCAGTTGATTCACAGTAATAATGTCTCTTATCACAATTACGCTGACGATACTCAGGTCTATGTGTCCCTGACAGCAGGAGAGCATGAACCAGTGGACTCGCTCCTTCACTGTGTCCAGCAAATCGGTGATTGGATGCAAAATAACTTTCTCCAACTAAACACCGACAAAACTGAAATAATTGTTTTCGGACCCCAGAAACAAAGAGAGAGCGTTATTTGTCACCTCCAGGCTCTCTCTCTACAACCCTCAAATCAGGTCAGAAATCTAGGAGTGATAATGGACTCAGACTTAAATTTCAAAAGCCACATAAAATCTGTAACATCAGCAGCTTATTACCACCTAAAAAACATTGCTAAAATTAAAAACATAGTGTCTAAGGCAGACTTGGAGACTCTTATACACGCTTTTGTCTCCAGTCGGTTAGACTATTGCAATGGCCTGCTCACAGGTCTGTCCAAACAGGCTGTAAAACAGCTGCAGTACATTCAACATGCAGCAGCTCGAGTCCTGACCAGAACTAGGAAGTGCGACCACATTAGTCCAGTTCTCAGGTCTCTGCACTGGCTTCCTGTTCCTCAGAGAATAGACTTCAAAGCAGCTTTACTTGTGTACAAGTCTCTCCATGGTCTCGCGCCAAGGTACATCCATGACATGTTTGTGCCATATGAACCGACCCGGACTCTGAGGAGCACAGGGACTGGACTCCTGTTAGTGCCCAGAGTCGGTACTAGACATGGGCAAACTGCATTTCAGATTCATGCGGCTAGAGTCTGGAACCGTCTTCCTGAGAATGTGAGACAGGCGTCTACTCTGGCATCTTTTAAATCTAGGCTCAAAACAATTCTGTTTAGCTGCGCATATACAACTGAATGATTTTATCTTTTCATCTTTGTTTTTATCTTTAATCTTTTTAATGCACTGTGACTATTTATGATTTTAGTCCCATCTGTGATTTTAATGTTTAAAGGTTTTTAATTTTTGTGATTTTATTTTTAATGTTTTTAAATATATCTTGTGCTCTTAATGTGTTTGATTTATGCATGATGTGATAGGGGATGTGAAGCGCTTTGCGTTGCCTTGTGTAGGAAAGGCGCTCTACAAATAAACGTTGATTGATTGATTGATTGACAATCATGTGACTGGATGACGTGGATCTGGTCAATAGAACATAATAAGGCTCTGGAATCCATCATTGAGTTGAAACAAAACCCCATTTCATCAACCTCTCGTCTTGCACTCTCGTATGTAAAGTCTGTGGAAGCCTCATAGGATTACAGGATTATTGGTACCTGCGATGACATGCCATGGCAGGGGTAGAGTATCGCCTTGTCGTCGTCCTCTGAGCCCTGGTCCAGACAGTAGCCACTGGCTTTGCTGTTCCGCACCTGAAGAAGCATCAAAGACAAAATCCAACTGAGCAGCTTTCCAATGAGCATAGGATACACGTTAAACTCTGACAATTTAAATATTGTTCAAAAGACTATTAATGTCTGTAACTCAATTTATAATGTGAAACTATAATTTATGATGGACTCATTGCCCATTAAGTGACATATATCAACCATTTATTTGTTATAATGTTCTAATTATGATAACAAATAAAGTATATTGTTATAAAAAGTATATTTGTGTAATAAACCTAAATTCATATATTTGAAATTCAACCTTAAGCCATAATCCACTGATCAATATTATCAGTATGCGTCTCTTGAAGATGGAAGACGTCTCCAGTCAAACAACACTAACAATCTGTTCAAAATAGTTGACCATGGCTTCATGTCACACTCCAAACACCTTCAGAGGATTTTCTTTCACTGATTTTATTCTGCAGAAACCCACATTGTTTATTATGTGTAAATAATGATATCTTTGTGTTTCCAGTGGTTGTACGACCAGGCAGTTTAGGTTTAGGACAGTTATGTCTACAGCGCTCCAGGATCAATGAGTTAGAAGGTTTTCTGGTGCTTGGGTCCCCAGCAGAGAAAAAACTTGATCCTATATAATCCCATAGACCGCTGTGATGAAAGGAAAGGTACCATAGTGACCACTCATACAGCCACTGGGTCATTACTAAATCAAATATGCATAATGTACCTTTAAGGAAAAGTGTAAAAATACAAGCTTTTGTATGTAATTTTTTTTTTAAATAAATGGACAATATACTAGTAGGATATTTTTAACTATTGACTTCGAAATACAACATTGTACTGTTGTAGAAATGTTTCATAATGTCATTTTTTTTGTGTTCATACATTCAATATCACTTTCAAACAGAAAACCTATTTTTTAACCTAGTAATACATAGACTTTTGTGTGGGCTCAGTGCTTCCATCTCCTCCACATCTCTTTCCTAACAGTGTGATTTTGATGCAGGCCTCGCTTTCCGCCATCTCCGCTCTCGTGCTGTGACGTGCTCACTGAGGCGGCCCTGGTTTACGCCTGATTTGAATGTGCACGGCTCCATGTCCGGGTTGTGACACGCCGCTGATGCTGTGGTGTCAGGGAAGGCTCCACTCGACTGGTGCGGTCAACATGGCCCACGGTAGAGCTGATGTGAGGCGACAGACGGAGCAGTGGAACGGCCCGGGTGAACCGTGCTTGCTTTGTGCACGGACCAGAAATCATGGATATGTCCGTGGAATCTATTAGCGAGTTATTCAGTCATTATGATATGTGTATAAGTGTATATTTACAAATGCATGTTATCATATCCCTATATATTATGTTGTGAAGCTATGGCAGAAGAAGAGAAATGTGATGTCAGGTTCGATTCCATCTTCAGACCTTTCTGTGTGGAGTTTGTATGTTCTCCCGTGTCTGTGTAGGTTTCCTCCAGGTGCTCCGGTTTCCCCTACCACTAAATAACATGTAAAATAGGTTTGGCATGTGCCTCATCTATGGGGACCACTCTCCCCAAAAAAAAACATGAAAAGTCACCTGAAAAATTCTGGATGGGTAATCTAACGGAAAGTCCTTAAATGAAGGAAGAGACTGGTCTTAAACAGATCAAATATTTGTGTTTCAGATTTTAACTGTACATTTCCAAACCTGCTGGTGACACCCTATCTGTGCGCGCCATATGGAAAAAGACAGACACTGAACAGTCGATGCATGAATGATTTGGTGTGGTGGTTTTTTTTTCTTCGGTAAGATGAGCAAGGGGCCACCCACGGCACTGCAGCTTAAATTCACAAGGGATGTTTACGAGATTATCACGGATTGTCTTTAGTTGACATAGAACCTACAGCTTTCCAAAATATTGAATTTAGTGAGGAGAATTTTAGTCCCTTATCGTCCTCAACTTTTTTTCTTTTGAAATCCATTAATTCTCGGCTCTTTCTCGTCCGTGGTCTGGCTCTAGCTCTACTCTGATCAGCAGCATGATGATTAGTCAAAATGCGCTCAAGTCCCTCTGTGCACAGTTGCCTCAGCTGGACCAGGAAATCCATTACACACTAACAAATATTACAATGTCGTCATAATTTAGCCACAACAGAGCAAAGAGAGCACAACATCTAGACCAGGGGTGCTCACACTTTTTCAGCATGCGAGCTACTTATAAAAGGATCAAGTCAAAATGATCTACCTACTACAAAAATGCAAATCACATATTTATTTCAAAAAATATTCTTTATACCTACAATGTATGTTTATGTACATGCAAAACCGCATGAGCCAATATAGCACAACACAACACAATTACCTATGTACATTTTTTGTCATTACCCGAGTTTACTCTGATGACTTGCACTGAATTGAATCGGCCAGGGATGCATAGTCAGGAAAATTGGTGGTAACTCCCTGACAAGTTTGTCGTTGTTTAGCTTTCCTGCACTGAGCGCGGTTGTTTGCGCATGTGCAGTCACCTAAGTGTCAGTAAAACATTACTGAGTAAAACACAGATGTCATTTGACTGTGGTGCCATGTCCATGTGCCATGCCTGGTTTTTTTTAATCCAAATATTTCCCCTCCTCAGTTTATAAAATAATTTGCATCCACACATCTGTGTTATCAATCACATTCGTAACATTCCAAATATGTGCGTCTCTTACGTCCTGTCCTGCGTTGGGGAAAAACACAGAAGTGGGCGGAGCTTTGATGCAGACGCCGGTAACGGCACTTTTACAGTCATAGAAGACACTCAGAGTAAAGACGTATGTTTACAAGCACTGACCCCGTCCTCAGCCCTGGTTTAGTCCTGGTTTAGTCCTGGTTTAGTCCTGGTTTAGTTGTTTTCGAGCGTGAGTCCCCGCGATCACTTTGTTGCTCTCTGATGTGGAGCGAGGATGTTTGCTGCTGCGAGCATCTCACAGCAAACAGTTTTTAAGGTAGTATGATCCATGCTTCAGTGATCAGAGGAATTTAGGGGGGTACTTTGGCGTGCGAGAACGCAAAACTCCGGTTATCTCTGTCTACACACAAATGCATTAATGGAATTTTCAAAAATCTCCACTTTGCCCGGAGTTTTTTGTATATATTCGTTTAGAATGTGTAATTTTTTATTTATTTAATGCGATCTACCAATACTACCTTTGCGATCGACTGGTAGATCGCGATCGACGTATTGAGCACCCCTGATCTAGATCACATGGTTAAATACTGTACATTTAACATTGTTCGCTCAAGTGATAAGCATCCCATCCATCCATCCATCCATTTTCTACCCTTTAATCCATTTCTGGGTCAGGGGGGTGGCAGTCAGAGATGCCACCCAAGTCTCATAGCACCAGCCCCTCACTGACCCTCTGCAGGTGGTGAGTCCACAGGAGGACGGCTGCTCTATGAGTGTGAGCATAGCCTTGATCTTTCAGCTGGGGCTTTGGGCAAAGTGGGGTTAAGTGTCTTGCCCAAGGACACGACGACAGCAGTCATCAGTGGGAGTCGGTGGAGAAGGTGCAGAGGTGGGAATTGAACCCACGACCTTCTGGGCTTAAGGCCAATGCTCTACCAACTGAGCTACTGTCGCCCCCTGATAAGCATCCCTTATACAGTAATTGATGCAGACTCATGTATCTTGCACATAGGTACTAAACGCAGGAAATTTCCCTATGCCATATTTTACTTAATAACCTGTTTTAGACTGATATTGACATTTATTTATGTTGAAAATACTTTTAAAAGATCCATGTCTGTGCCTTATTTAACGTTTGCATTAAAGCCATTTTCTTTATAGCACTCAAAGTACCTTTTTATCTGGCCACGTGGTATTGGCTGCTCTTTTTTACCAAACCCGAAAGCACTTACGAAGCTTATTTCTGAATAATACATAACTATCTGCCACAGTTTAAGAGTAAGAGCTATTCTCACTGATAGATCCCCTCTTCCATTAGGATACGTTCTGACACTACATTTACGCAGCGTATTGATCTGCCGCTGTTTTCCATTGTCAAGATTGATATAAGTAAAAGAGAACCATTCAGCAGTCGCCTTAATTGTTTGTGGCTCAGAATCCTGTTCAATTTTTCAACCTGTCATAATCCTGATCCATCCCCCTGACGCGGCGAGAGCAGAGCCCAGACCAATCATGATGCGATGGAAAACTAATAAGTCTGTAATTAAAGCTCATTATGAGAAAATTGCTTTGAATCGTATGAGATATTGCATTACCATAGCAACAAGATTTTTTTTCCAAACCTAAATGGGATGTTTTCTATTTATTAATTTCAAAAGCCAGGATCGTAATCTGCTCGGTCTCTCGTCCGAACCAGTCCTGTAGAGCTGCACTGCGCCAGAAATTCACCTCAGGAATAAAAACTGACAAAATTCTCATCACATAAAAATCTAATCTAAGTGTGACCATTGCCCAAAATGTCTTGCTAAAGTTTTTGCCAAAGTTTAAGATGTATTTGTTTTTTATTTTTTTCCTGGTCAACCAACAGTTAACACAGCACATATTGTCAAATAAAATAGCATTAAATGTATATTAACAAAAATAAGATAAACATATATAAAAGTGTAATTCATTCCTGTTAAGATTTAGTCGTTGTAAAAAATTGCAAAGACATTCTGGAAATTATTATTGTGAACTAATTCTAAAATGTCAGTGAGCAAGTCACAAATAAAAACCTGAAATATATCACTCTATTTATAATGAATCAAAATTAATTAGGAGTTGCTTTCAGAAATGGCTGAATATTCTTTATTACTTTCTGCATATATTGTTATGAGTCTCAGATTGTTAAAATAATCATTGACAGTCAGGGCCCATGATGCCGTTCACCAAAGTTTACTATGACTGTAGATGTGTAGTTGGAAAAAGCCTCCACGACACAAACTCCCTCACTATTCATGGGTTAAAGCTGTGGAAAGGGTCCTCCATCACCGTTGCAATTTAAATCCTTCAAATCACGAGTCTTGTCTGAAATCCATGAATATCTGATCAGGTTTCAGATCGACATGGAGACTGCTCTGCTCTGCTCTTTTTAGTTCTTTGGTTTAGTATTTAACGTTGTGTGCGGCGCTGCCTTTTTAAAATACATTTAAACAAACACATTATATGATAAAGATACTGATCATAATTACAGACTATAAATCTCAGTGCAAGGAGTTACTATCTGGAACAATTTATTTGATTAATGATAATTCAAATATGATAAAAAAAATATTTAAAAAAAGAATGTGGAAGGATGAGACTGATGCACAGAGGAAACTGAGGGGAGAGAGGTGTTCGGTCAGAGAGTGTTTGTGCCTGTAGAGCAGGGGGGTCAAACTTATTTTTGTTGAAAGGGCTGGTCAGGGGCCAAAGGAATAAGTGGGTTTCATTTATTATACTTTTTTATAATATGAAGGTATTTATATAAATGACTTGTTTCACATTAGTTAGATTGGATATTCTTTTCTGATTAGAATTAGTTCAGTTACTGTGGACTGAACCAAAACGGGACCAAACATCGAAGGTATATAGGAAGATTTTCTACTTCCGGGTGAATCATCAAGACTGTTGATCCTCTCAAATGTCAATCATTCTGGTGATATGTTAAATAAGACCGGAGAGTTTTGTTCAAAAATATTTTGTTCCTAATAATATTGGGAAATCCTCCTTCATATCTTTAGGAAAAAATGTAATTGAAGACTTAACAATAACATAACAATACTAACTTCTAATTACATGTTGGCTTAACATTTCTTATGAAACTACATTTTATGATTGTTTTCTTGAGAAAATAAGTATTGGATAACATGCCATTGTTGCATAATACCATCAATGCTGCTATTTAATATAATAATTTTAAATCCTCTCAGGGGCCACTGGAAATTGTCTCGCGGGCCGGATCTGGCCCCCGGGCCTTGACTTTGACACCTATGCTGTAGAGTGTGTGCGTGTGTCTCATGTTTTGTATCCTGTTTATTATTTCAGTCTGTTTGGTGCACATTAGTTTGACATAATACCTTACTATAGCAAACTTATCATATTTGGATCTTGTTAAAAACTACATATAAAATACAACCGGCACAGAATAATAGTACACAAATACATTGAATACACAGTTGAAACTGAAAACGCAGAAGCCATAATGAATGAATGAGAGCTTTAGGAGTCCCACAGTGGGGATCCATGATTGTGAGCACAGCTGTGAGAGCGCTGACCTCTCCGTATGTGATGGTGTTGTTGTAGATCCTCATCTCAGGGTAGACGTGTTCAAGGTACCAGCGGAAACTCCGGCACTGCAGCTTCTTCCTCAGGGCCAGACGCTCCGAGACGTCACCAAAGTCAACACCCGGGTTCTGTCAAAACAAAAACAACATTTATTACGTGCCATAAAGAGCTTTACCAAGCTTTAGTGTTTTTATATTACAGGATAGTGGATTTCTGGCACAAATGGGCACAAACACATCCCTTCGACACTTCTGTTTATATTCCCGTTATTCAATCTCTGTAAATAATCCTTAGACTATGATGTTGTGGACGGAACAGTTTTGAGAAAACTCATTTTACATGTTTCTCTGGATACTTTCTATTCTCAAACATATGCATGCTATTGTTTTATTAAGTCAAGACGGAGAATAAGTTGCTCTGGAAGACAAGCTGACTGTCCCCTCTCGTGACTGTAAGTGAAACATGTGATTTGCGTCCCCAGTCAAACTGTGAACAAAGTGTAAGTTGATAGATAGATAGATGATAGATAAATACTTTATTCATCCCAGCGAGGGGAAATTCAGTTGTAGTTAAGAATAATACGGTACTCAAATTCTTGTTTATGTATCTCAATGTTGATTGTACCTGTGCATCAAATAAAGAAACATCAGTCATGGCGCTGAAGAGGAGGACTTGTTTGATTCAGATCAATAGGAGGGAGATAGAATATGTTGCTCAACCCTAAATTAATGTGACTTCCAAGGATTTGTAAAACTTCCAATTACTGTGTTAATTCACATGGAACACAACTGGATCAAAGTCAAACGTCTACTCTGCCAGCGTAAATAAAGTAAATGGAAAATATCTTGTTTAAAATACCTTCAGAAATCTACTGTTAAAGATGTTATTATTGACACTTGAATGGACTTAAGCTGTCAGACAAATGAAAAAACAGTGAATACCTCATAAAGCACTTGCTCACCGCATGAAACCATAGGATAGACCAGCCATTCCCAAACTCAGTAACACCGAGGCCCCCTTAAAAATCTGACGGGTCTGCGTGGCCCCCCAAAATAATAACCAAGAAGACAACATTAAGAATAGGCTCTTCTGGTTATTTTATTTTGGGGAAATAGCCTCTGCTACAAACATTGTAATACAAAAATGATTACAGTGGATTATTCAAGTCAAATAATGAACACAAATATTTTAATATTACAAACAAAACATTATAAATTTAACATTAAATAATTATATATATATATATATATATATATATATTTAATGACCTCCCGCGGCCCCCCTGCAGTACCCTCGCGGCCCACCAGGGGGCCGCGGACCCCACTTTGGGAGACACTGGGATAGACCAATTCTAGAATGTTAATAGACCACATCAATGCACATTTAAAGGAATAGGCCACCGTTTTTACACTGACATATGTTCTTACCTTAGACTAGACGAGTTGATATGTACCTGTCTGGTCTTTGTCTGTGCGCTCTGTCATGCAAACGGAGCACAAACGCAGCCTCTTCCACAGACTGTATAGTTCCAAATCAGCTCCCGTTAGACGCTACCAAACTCTTCCACGTTTTCCTTATTTAAATACAGTTACGTGACGTGTTACACTACAAAGTATAGTAACACAGAAATGTAACATGTCGATTTTCTCAGCGGATAAAAAGGGGGACTATATTGTGAGGCGTAATAATACGAGGAGCACTACGTCCACGCACTAACTCCTAAAGACTTCTCTCCCGCTCCTGTACGTACTACAAGTCACGCTGCTTCTATTGACGGAAGTGAGGAGACCAGACAGGAACATATCAACTAGTCTAAGGTAAGGTAAGAACATGTCAGTATGTAAAAACGGTGGCCTATTCCTTTAAACAATACAATATTTGTAATTTCCTCCTGACCCCAAAAGCTAAAAATTTAGACTGCAACTCAAAGGATGAATATTAGAAAACAATTAAAGAATAGATTAGATGGTCGAATATTGTTTCAATTCATGAAATAATCATTTAGATCGCAGGTCAGGGAATATTTGTTTTCACACATTGTAAACACATGCCCCTTTGTGAAAACATTTATATGTCCTTCTGCAGTCATAAAACTCTAAAATAACTACTACTATGCAAAACCAGAACACTTCCACTGCACTACACTTATGAAGCAGTAAATATAGGTTTAACAAAAGGCGGTTTCAAGAGTATGTTGAAGCACATAGTAATTGGCTCGGGGCTGTGGCTGTGAGGGGCCTTCATGCTTCTTCTTAAGTGCGACGTGAGCTGCACACAGTTGGCTCTAATCATCTGTTTAATTATGAGCACTCACGGCCGGACGTGTTATCGGGGTGGCTCCCACATCGATCGGGAAACGCCTGCAGACTGCCCTGCCTGCCACAAAGTCTTGGCTCACATATAAAAGATATCTTATTAAAATTGAACTTACTGTGCAGAATATTTTTCATATCTCCAGAAACACCCAGAATATGCAGCGGTTCCTGCATGTTTGATTGTTCTTTACTTGTCTTATTTGAATCTTATAAAAGTAAAAAAAGAAATCCGACTACGGCACGCTGCTTCATCAACACATTTGAGCTGAGAGCTGGATGAGAGTGGGTGGTCCTCACGTTTTCACTTTTCTGTCTGAAAAGAAGGATCTAAAGTTGTGATGGATCCAAAAATACATGGTATGTGTTTTGAGTGTGAGGAACAAGTTCATGAGATTTAATAACATTGTTCCATTATCAGTTAGGTAACCCAGCTTTTAAGAAGAAATAGGATGCAATATTTTCGGCCATTGAAAATTATGAGGCTTTTAACCTTTTAATTTAATGATTTAGCACGTTAAATAATATCTTATGTGGAAAATATATGGTGGACGTATACATATGGATGGTAAACAATGCTTTTTGCCTGCAACTCCCTATGCCACCACTAGAGAGAGTTTAATTTGTTTTGGTTTTTTTTAATTATTTGAAGATTATCAGCTGTAAACAGAGACATGTGAAACTAATATAGGGCCAATACTTTTGTTTTAGAAGGCAATCGACTGCGTGATGTCATACAATTACAAGACTGAGACGGGAGATTTTAGGCAGAAGGGATTCATTTACATGTTTGTGCCAGAAGTTCCTGATAGTAGCGTGAGTGGATCAAAAAACACCTGGAGTTGTTTTGCGTAACATAGTAAAAAGCTTAAAAAGTATGATTTTGCATAATTTCTCCTTTGAGTCTTGTATACAGAAGATTAAAACTATTAGTCAATAAAAGTTTGCCTGGATAACAGTAGAAGCAGAAAGGCAGCATCATCATCGGATGACACAAACAAACGCATTTAATTTCAGAAGCTGTTGTTTTTAGATTTTGGACTCAGGGCTCGTGCTGTAGTAAATCATAAGCTTCCCCCCATAGCTACAGAAGTAATTTTCTCTTAGTTGCTGCAACCAGACAATAACACTGTTACTGTGTGTTTGTGTGAGAAAGAAGGCAGTTACTGTAGAATAATAGTTGTTTTTTGTCTCATTTTGTTTCTCAGAAAACAAGGTAACTCCACACCGCAGGACAGCTGGGCAATATTCATGCTACTGCGTTGGAAATCACACTGGAGAATAGGAGATGAGATCTAGATTGGTTTCTTAGTCAAACCTGGCTGTTCATGTGAAAACCCTACGACTCAAAGCGCTAGTTACAGGTTCCAGATTAGGTCCATCTACCTGCGTTTAGTGAAACATTGTGATAAAAGTGAGTTTGTTTGAAGGAAAGTGAGCAGCATGTGTGACAGGCTCCCGCAGAGAAGTCATCATTCAGTCGCTGTGTTCTTGGCTGGAAATCATCTGATTCTCTCCGCTCTCGCACTCAATTAGGATTCAATGTTGAACTCTTTAGGAAGCAGAAGAGATGTTTTTGTATTGTGCGGCCCATTTTGGAAGACCCAGGAAAGCAATTAAACTAAAATGAAAATGGGATGATTGGTCTGAGGCTCCTCCTGTCTGACGGTGGCTGGCTGTGGCTTCACTCTGCTAGATTGAAGGTCAAGTGGGACGAAATCTGAATTTTGAGTTTCTATTGACTCCTGTCTCTGGAGGGCTCACATGCCTTTCAGAATGAGCAAGACGAGAGCCTGCTGAATAAAGCTATGTGGAGCCGACGGGAGAATTTGAGGAGAAAGTCTACAAAGCAGTGCAAACTTACGTTCATGGGAATGTTCCAGGCCATGTAGACGTGAGATTTGTATTCATCCATCCACACCTCAGCGGCTCTCAAGGCGTTGCGCTTAGCGTAGTAATCAATGTCATTATTGTAGGGCTTCTTAGTGCGCTCAATGTGAGCCACTCGCGCACAGGGCAGCACTTCCATACTGCCTCCACACTGCCACACCTGGAACAAGAACAAGACGACACATTCACTTACTAGAAAAGAGGTTCAGCTTTTATTACTCTTTAAAGCTGGGGTACCCAACTTTAAACCACAACATTTGACCAGTGTAATTTAATATTTTATATAGTTTTTGGCGTTTGTTACATCGGCTTTTTCAAGCAGTAAAGTAAAAAATAGAGGACCACTCTGTCCCAGCCAATCAGCTCCCAGCCCGAATCGTCCAAAACTGACTTACTTCCAAATATGCCCAGAAAGATAACATGTTTTTTATTGATGAAGAGAACATGATGAGGTCTAATTCATTCACAACATTTTACTTTTATAAAACTTTGTCTGTTGGGGAAAAAAAAGAATAAAACTAGGTACCCCAGCTTTATGTCAGAGATGTAAACAAAATAACTTTATTGACGTTAATGTAATTTTTCTAAAGCATTCTCTAAGCATTTGTGTTATCAGGGCTTATGAAGATTTGCTGCTGCTTATCCGCAGTAACGTGCACCTGCTGTAATCACCTCCAGGAGCTGTCTGCATTGTTTGTTCTGCTGAAGCCTCTTTCTAAACCAAACACACTTGTTCTCAGAAAACTTAATAATGTATATCTACGCTAGCTGCTTTCATGTTCGTGTTGAGTCAGCTTCTAAAAAAGCAAATTAAAGAGAGCTGACGGCGGCGATCAAACACACTCCTCATTACAGTTGAAGAAAGTTCAGATCTGGACCTTTAGTCGAGGGTCATCGCCTCGAGTTTTACTGATTAAAGTATAAAAAACATCATGAAGGACTAACCACCGACTTCAAATACAGCTGCAAGTATAGAATAAGACATGCACAGAACTGAGGAACAACAGGGCAGTACGATTAATCACAATCAAATCCACATTTTCAAGATCTGTAGCCGTACTGTTTAAGTGTTTAAAGGAGAAGTGCTGATGAAGTGTGTGGAGGAAAGAGCACAGTGTGGGTAGTGGAAGAGAGGAGTATGGTTAGTTTCTGTCTTGTCAATGTGTCTGTTTGTGTGTTGTTTTATACCACATATGAAATTGCATTTTGATTTTGATTGTGGCTGAGTTGATAGCATCCCCCCGTTTCTCAGCAAGAAGGTCCTGGGTTCGAAACCTGGCTGAAATGGGGTCTTTCTGAGTGGAGTTTGTATGTTTTCCATGTATCTGCGTAGGTTTCCTCCAGGTGCTCCGGTTTCCCCTACCACTAAAGCACATAGGTCAATAGGTCTGGCATGCGCCTCCTGTGTGGCGACCCCGCTCCTGTCTCTGTGTGGAGTGAGAGAGAAATGCCCACAATTGTAAAGTGTGTTGTGACTCAGATCTGTGAAAAGCGCTACATAAATAAACATTAATTACTCACTATTTTGCTACTTTTGCCTGTGTTGTCTTTGTATTGCTTTTTGTTTGTTTGTTTCTCTGTGTTTAACGGGGGAGGTGGGTCTCCTTCTTCCAACCCCCTTTCAAAATGTGTGTGTGGTGTCTGTTATTTGGTGTTTTTGTCAATGTCAATGTCATTGTCAACTTTAATTGTATAGCACATTTACAACAACACCAGCTACCCAAAGTGCTTCACAGGCACGAAAGATAAACACACAAAATAAAAGAGCATAAAATACATACACATACAGTACATGTAAAAATGAAATGATAAAACTCAATTGGTGTTAAAAGCCAAAGAGCAAAAATGTGTCTTTAGACTAGATTTAAAAACTTCCAATGAAGGACCTGCTCTAGTGAACAGAAGAAGTAGACTATTCCACAGTTAATAATAATAATAATAATGCATTGGTTTTATACATCGCTTTTTTGGAAACTCAAAGACGCTTTACATGTCATTATTCATTCACTCCAAACACGGTGGTGATGAACTACTGTAGCCACAGCTGCCCTGGGGCACACTGACAGAAGCGAGGCAACCAGTATGTGCCATCGGCCCCTCTGACCACCTCTAACCACTCACACACACACACACCAGACTCATTCTAGGCAATGGGGGTGAAGTGTCTTGCCTAAGGGCACAACGACAGCAGACATCAGTGGGAGTCGGTGGAGAAAGTCTTGTGGTGCGCTCGAACCCAAGACCTTCTGGCTCAAAGACCAATGCTCTACCAACTGAGCTACTGTCGCCCCACGTTTTGGGGGCAGCAACAGAAAAGGCTCGGTCTGCTTGAGTTTTGAGACCAGACCTGGGCACATTGAATCGAAGCTGCTTTTCAGACCTCACTGATCTGACAGGAGCAATTGGTAAAATTGTGTCTTACAGGTTTTGCGATGGCCATCTTGATTGATTGATTATAACAATTCCGTAGCACAACATGTAGCTTTGGCTTGAAGATATGAGCAAAGTACCTCGCCAACAGATCAGTGCTTTGAACATGCCCCATTATGCACAGCTGTTTGAACTGAAGCGTGTCTGCCAGCGGGGGAAAGATTGTGTGATGAACAGTCTTTTCAACCTAATAGTCATAAATACAGCGGCCAGAGAGAGAGAGAGCAGCATATGACAACCACAAACCGTGATCCTAGCGTGTTTGGAGTGTACGAATATATAAAGTCTGGCAGGAACTAGATGTCAGCTTGAAATACATCCATCATGGCAGAAGGAATTGATTTTAGTGGCACTTGACTGTGGCGCTTAAAGTGGGAAAAAGTGGTGCCAGAGCTTTCCCCTGAGTGCAAATACGAAGTTGAGAATTTTACACCCAGCTAAAGCACAGATACAACACGCAAAAAAAAGCAATGCAATAGGGGAATTAGCGGTCGTTTGAATACAGTGGCATATGGTAATCTCCTTGGGTTACATAAAGTGCTGAGACCATGCTGGCTCATAATGACTAACGTAAGTAGATTCACAATAATTAGCTTTTCCATAAACTCCTGCTTTAACCTTGAGCTGGAGGAACGCTCTCTGTTAGCAAATACATACATGTGAAATTATGGTTGAAGAGTAGGAGAGGCGAATGCTGCCCGGTGTTGTATCGCAGTTATGGGCATGTCAAACTCCGGCCAGTGGGCAATATCCGGGCCGCAAGACCTTTTTTTTTTTTTGGCAAGAAAACCTTCAAGAAAATAATATCTAAACTCAACTACAATTAATTTGCCGAAAATATATAATAATAATTTAAAAACAAATACTTTCATACCACTTTTACATTTTTGGCCACAACCAGCTCTTATGTTGTTAACTTTGGCCAAAGACTGTGTCACATCAGTATGAAGAAAAACTTACATACAAGATAGTACATGTATAAGTAGCCTTCAGAGGAAGAGGGTCAAAATCTCTGCATTCAAGCCACGATGCTTTTAAAGAGTCCATCCAGATTGTTTCTTTAGTCTCTTAAGTTTGTCTTGACTAACTTTTTGGGCTGACTGCAATGACTAACTAATGTCATATGTGAAATGATGTTCTCATAATAACAAAGCAATTATTCTACACTATAGAGCTATCAGTAGAATGGATTTGCTAGAGCGGCTCCTTCAGTTTTCTCAGTGTATGACCTTGAACTGAAAAGCAGCAGATAGAGTAGAACACAATGTATAGACAGCTTCAATGTTATTTCTACAATGATTAATACGACGTGAGACAGAACTATGTTGAGTGTATAATGATTTATAACCTATTTAGTAAGAGGTTATTAAAGAGGAAACAATTTAGGCCATTTTTTTCTTCTTTGACATTTGTTTAGAACGTGAAATATTCTCTTAAAAACTAAATACATGTTGAGTGTAACCGAGAGGTCTAAATAGTATTAAAAATGTGTTTAGCCCTGAAAGCACAAACGAGAGACACTTTTCCAATTGCAGTCGTAACTCCGGCTCTGACTTTATTTCACACATTCATCCTGACGTAAAATGCTAAACAGTATGTTACATAAGTATCAAGGGTGACTTGTAACTCCCAATGCTGCCACTGGAGGGAGAGTTCGAACTTGTTTTGCGTTTCTCAAATTTGAAAATGATACTGGTTTCAATTACGTCATTTCACCTGAGAAATTGCTCAAACTAATTCAAGGGCAATACTTGTGATAGTGTTATATCATTGCAGAACAATGACACTAAACTATCACAGGAGTGAGACAGGAGCTTTAAATAGAAGAGGCAGAGTTACAGGTTTGTGTCAGAAATTCCTGGTAGTAGCATGGATGCGTCTGAAAACATCTCCAGTTTTGTTTGATGAACAATGTGGTAAAATAATTAAAAGCTCAAAAAAGCTGATTTGCATAATGTTTCTAACAAACTCCAACACTGAAAGCCATTTCCGCAGCTCGTCCTTCCGCCTGGACTGAGGAGTAGCAGAGAGCTTACGCCGTTTAAACACATCCATTGACTGAGTGACCCCTCATCTTCACCGCTCCTGATCCACACTGACCCAAGACTAAAAATCCATTTCCTGCTCGCAGACACTACACTGTGTTGTTGTTGCAGCCGGGAACCAAGCTTTTGTGTCCCAACAGCTGGTTGTAGAGTGTGTGCAGTGTGTGGGAGTATGGTCAATCTGCAGTGGATTCTGTGGTCTGTCCACCATGAAATCATCCTTCAAAAACTGCCGATGTTATTGTTCTATTATTCTGGTTTTGGAGAGTCAAATTGGTAACACTCCCGGTGGTAGAATACATATGAGATACTCATAGTGAATTGAATGAGTAAAAGCAGTGAGCACTTTGCTTAGCACTCCAAGCTAACTGAAGAGCAGTCCTTTTTTTCAACCACTTGAGCAGAAGGTCAAAACCCTTTTGCTAAAATGACTTGATAAATGTCTGTAACAGATTTGGAAATGCTGTGAAAGTGAATCTACACAGAAAATAGAAACATTTCTGTTTCAGTTGGGATGAAAAATACATATAATGAAATATTTACTTAAAGTCTTAAATTTACTGAAAGTCATTTTCTAATATTGTCTCTTTCCTGAGGCTTTTGTGCTTTTGGCCCTGATTCAGTAATGAAGCATTCAGTAATGAAGCATTACTGAATCAGCATCATTGATGCAGATTAACATTAA